AAGAAACAAAACCCAATCTCACCCACTCCCTCTATACCCTCTCTCGCTGACAATCGGGCCCCGGTCCACGGTACAGTACCGTCCGCGCAGACCGCGGCGGCACTGGCTTTGACCGGCGGATGCTCACCGATGGCGACCTCGTCGGCGGCGAGACCTACCACGGTGCACTCCCCTCTTCCCCGCGCATCCACTGGTGGTACTGGTTGATCACTAGGAGCACAACAACACGCACGTCGATGGCGAGGGTGGCACAACAGACAAGATCAACGGCAAGCTCTCCGGCGTCGCAAAGGTCACCGACGCACTCGTCTCATCCACTGTGGCACCCACGGCTGCAACCACGGCAACCCGGCGGCGTGTCCGACATGGCGGAGGCAACCAACAGCACGGTCATCGGCGACACAGGGGTTACCAACACACTCACGATGCTCACGAGAACACGTCCAAGGGGTCTGTTGGACATCCGAAAGTTAACAGCACGTTTGCACGCGACCACGGCGGCTCGCCAAGGCAGAGCACACCGGCACGGCGGCGCTCCAGCCGTTAGGCTTGGTAGAGGTTAAAAGGAGGGCGGCGTTAGCACGACAAGCTCACTGTGACTTCAGAAGGGCTACTAGTTGAGACGGGAATGCGGCGGAGCTCGGTGGTCAATGACGGAGACGAAAGCGGCGGTGCGAACTCACGGACATGATGGTGTTCCGGTGTGTCTAGGGCTTAACTACGAAAACCAACAAGCCAATGAGCGTCAAGAAGACAAGGTGAAGAGAAAACAGATGGTGGTTGGAACGGAGGTGCGCCACAGAGGGCTATCCACGGCGAGGGGCTCACGGCGGTGCTCTAGTCATCGCTGAGGAAGACAACGGACTGAGGGCGGCTCCGGTGGCGAGGGATGGCACGAGTAGGCTCAAACGGTGCGCAAGGATGAGGCAAGCGTGGCTACGAGGTGAATTGGACAGCGGGTGAGCGGTGATGGAGAATTTTCGGCGAACCAAAGGCTCGATGGCGGCGGAAGAAAGAAGAGAAGGAAAGGGGTGGTGGGCGGCTCAATGTTATGAAGGCAAAGGCGAAGCACCGAGGCATCCAGCAGCTGCTTAGGAGCAGTCCGCGGAAGTAGCTACGCGTCACACGCACATGAGGCGGCGAGCTAGGGCGGCGCATCGGCAACAAGCAGGCAGGTCGCCGGCGACACTGTAGCATCTGATAGCCCTTCTTCCTCTTCCTTTTTCTCCCAATTTCATATGGCAACTTAAAAAACTCCAAAAATCAAAGTTGTTCATCTTCATGTGATCTTCAACTTTGCTTCAAGGCTCACCTCCTAATTCTAAGTGGATTGAGAGATCAAGGATCAAGAACAGAGGAAGATTGAAACTAAAACTCTAAACTGACAGTTAGGTTTTTGAAAATAGTTTGATTAACAACTTTGGTGAATTAATTAGTGAGTAATTATCTACCACACATATCAACCAATAGCACCATTGCATAGTACAAACTTTATACTTTGAAATGATACTATTGTTTGGATAGGTTTATTTAAGAAATTCATTTTAATGAATTCCCCAAAATTGAATCCAATGCTGAAACCCAAGACAACCAAAATTGGTTGTGCTAAAATCAAACCCTGAATTCAAATTTGTAGCTCAAATTTTAATGGGTTGGACTTGAATTCATACCCTACACTTGACACTAGTGTAAAGCACATGCTTTACATCTCAAAGTTTATTAGGGCATAATTTCAAGTATTTTAGTGAAATTCAAAAATAGAAGGTCACAAAGTACCTTAAAATGATTTTTGGTTCTCGCTCATTACACGACATATATGCATTGCATTCCTACAAATTAACATTGATTTTAGTGAATGCAAGGCATGATTAGCTAAAATGGGTGCTTACTATGCATGATGATGACATGATCAAGTTTTAGTGATGCTTAACACCTGGGGTGTTACATGCAATTACTAAGATGATGTGGGAAAAGTTTGGACTCAAGCCTAAGGAACAAATCTATGAGTATCAGCAGCCGTATCCCTAGTGGTTTGATAAAGTTCTGTTTCCATACTGATACATGATTCCAGATTTTTCAAAGTTTTTAGGGCAGGACAGTACAACTACAGTTGAACACATTAGCCAATTCTTGTTTCAATGCGCGGGGGGGGGGCATCAGCTGAGGAAGCTCTGAAAGTTAGACTTTTCCCATTGTCTTTGACTAGATCGACTCTCGTGGTTTTCATCATTACCGTCAAATTCTATTAGAGGATGGGATGATCTTGAGAAGCAATTTCATAAATATTTCTTTGCTGGAATCGACGAATTGAAACCTACATACTTAATATCAGTTGATCAGCAAGGAGAATCGGCTATGAAATATATTCAAAGATTTCGTAATGTCTGCAACCGATGTTATAGTTTGAACCTAAGTGATGAGCAGTTAGTTGATCTTGCATTTCAAGGATTGTCAACACCTATCAAAGAAAGATTCTTTAGCCATAAGTTTGACAGTCTGGCTCATGTAGCACAAAAGGTATCATCCTATGAAAGCCGATTGCAAGATGCAGAGCAGGATCAATTTTGGAGTTGTCAAGACCAGAAAGAAGATAATTTTGAAGCATGAATTCTCATACTCCAAAATTGGGGGACATATGTTAACACCAAAATTTGGTAAGATTCTTCAATGGATTCGGTTAAGGGAAGAGCGCAATCAGCCGATGGAAAGTTTATCCAGAAGTGATCGAATTCAGGAAGGAATCGTGAAGGCCACAATATCGCCTCAGGCGTAATGAAGATGGACTCTACCAGAAAGGAAATCATAGAGTTTTACTTATATAAATTAGATTAGTTTCTTTTTATACCAGAATTGTCTAGTCGTATTTGTTTAGGAGTTTGTGTCAGTCCAGGGTATAAATATAAGCCTTGGCTATTGTATCAAGGATATCTCTCAATGAATACAATATCTCTTTTCAGTATCACACCATTACAATTAGGAATAGGATATAACGTAGATCCTGACAAGTTCTCCAACAAGACAGGGCTGCATCATTTTATATCTCCAGTCTGCCACGGTCTTTGTCAATTAGGTGCTCTAGGCTTTAATCACCGGCGCATCACTGTAGTTTCGTCAGTCTGCCTAGTTATCGATGTAGTTACGTCTTGTAAGGCTGCATCTTATAATCTCTTACTTGATTTGATAGAATCATCCCACCTTGATTAAGATGCATCGGCTCATATCTTATAAATCTGTCTCTTGCTATCCTTTAAACTTGATCGTATCTTTGTTGATGTCAGATCGTTTCTTTGGCTCGTTGTATCTTAATCTTGGCCTTGCCTAGTATGCTCTCAAGAGCTTGTTTTATTATAATTAGATCTATTGACTTGCAATCTTTAGTCTATCGCCCTGCTACCAACACTGCATCTTACCGACCTGGTGGGACATTAGGTTAGATTTTGTTAAGCTTATGTCTCTGATTATGGTTAGACTTGTAATTGCTCTCATTCTACAACCTATCGGCTTCCTGCCGATAGTCAATACACTTCACATTGAATATCTTGATATATATGACCATCGGCTCCTTAGCCGATAGCAACATCTCCTTTTACATCTGGGCAATTTTCTTTCACTATTATCGGATTCGTTTCCATGATTAAGTCTTACAGCCAATGATACTGTTATCATATCGGTCTCCTCCCAAAGGCATCAGCTTATCTTCAGCATGGAAGCCAATATGTTCTATCTTGGGCTACTAACCGTCCTATCCCTTGTTAGTTGCAGGATCAAACAAACTAGCACGCCCATGAACTTCTAAAACTGACTGGACCTGCATTGGAGCTAAGCACATCTCAAGGCCATCGTATGATGACGAGGGATCTCCATCGGCCAAGTCCCAATCAGCTAGTGATCGGGATTTTTCGGCGTCAACACCTATCAAACAATATTACTTCATCCATCATGTTTTCAAACTCCCTGTTTTGTTTGACCACTCCTCCACGAAACAAACGAACTAGTCAATCCATCAACAAAAAATTGATTACAGTTTGTCTTGAGGTGGTAGTTGAAAGCAGCTATACTACCATACCTATAAATACAAGTATGACATAAACTAAGCACATAATTTAAATGCAACTAATTGTACATGTATATACCGTGTGCAGAGTCTGTGAGGTATGACCGCAAGAAAGACTGATGATATACCTATTCTTTGTTCCATTGATATGTAACTTAAAAACATTGCAAAAACCCTAGGCCCCAGTTCTACTAGAAATCTAATAAATACGACCAAGAAACACAGAATCAAAGAGGGTATACCTTGCTCGCTCGAGTGTGAGAAGTGTTTCCCAACCAGAATTGACCCACATTTAGACATGAGGTGTCTAAAGATGGCTAACGAAGAGAAAGAGCCCCGCGACAAGGTAGGCTCATGACATGTCAATATGGATAGACGTGCATGGTGGTGATAGCTTTGCTCCGCTGGATGTCCTAGCATGACCGAGTCGTTTTGTCATTATGGACATATTCATGCAGCCAGAGGAGTTAGTTAAAAAAACTCGAAAGAGTTATTAGTATTCTATTAATTAATTGAAAAGGTTTAATAAGATTTAAAAAATCATGGAATTTTGTTTTAAGAAGTTTAAAAATATTATATTATATATACAAATTCCACACATGTCTGGCTGCATCTCTACCTCCATCGCCGATTCGGCGGCCGCCGAACTACAGCAGCGCAAGGGACTCGCATCGCACCGTCGCACATATACGGCAGCCGACCAACCAACTAACATCCCGGCAGCCGCAAACCCGCAGATCCTTCCGTCCCACTCCCACGGGAAAACAACCCTCCCTTTGCTGTTGCTGCTACTCACCCTCTCGGATCCCTTTCCACCGCACCTCCCGGATGCGGCCGGGGACGCCACCGCCGGCGCCTCCGCCTCCGGATCCGTTGATCTAGTTGCTGCTATTGCTATCGCTGCTTGATTGGGGTGAGGAGGAGGTGGAAGAGGAGGGAATAGGCGATGATGTTCTGGAAGGACGGCGGCGGGACTGGGGGCGGCAACGGACGGGACCTCAGCGGCGGGCCGCCCTGCGGCCAGGTGCGTGTGCTCGTCGTTGGCGACTCAGGTCAGTCTGCCTCATGGGCTAGATTAGTGAGTAGCTTCGGCTTAGTGGGATTTAACTTTAGTGCGGCTAGATTATAGGATCACGGGCCAACTAAGGATCGGCACTCTTATTCAGGGTATTACTTCATCCGATGTCTTGCTTACAATTTAATTCGTGGATTCTCATTTCCACAATAGACGGACATGTTCCACGGACTATTTTTGTTTACTTTATGGGCAATACTTGTAGCCAACTCATGGGAACACCCTGGATATACTACCTCTATTTCTTTCGTGTAGTATCATCTGAGAAAGTCTCTTGAGGTATGCTTTCACCACTAATTTCCTGTACAATATGTTATCAATTATCTGGGACCAATATCTTACTAAAAAGCATGTCGAATACGAATCTGTTAATGTATCTTTTGCACACTTAACATACAAAATTCTAATATGCCCTACATTTTGAAATGGAGGAAGTGCTTGAAATACAATTTGTGTCATGCTGTGCTGTGGAACTGATAGGACTTGATGCCCTACCGGAGTTACTGCATAGGTTATAGGGGTGGAAGAGAGGAGGACGTGGTCTGTACTCTCGATGCCGGCGAGGGGCCGTGGCGGCTGCTGCTGCAGGCCTAGAACTCTCGCGGTGCTACAGTGGCGGCGGCACTGTTCACGCGCGACAACAGCAGGAGGCGGCTAGGGTTAGGGAATCCCGGCTCCTTTCAGGAAGCCGGAAACAATCTTTGTTTCTGCTTAATCCTCCAAAGTAGTCTTACAAAGTATTTATATGTCCTCTAATAATAATAATAGAAATAACCCCTTAATAATTATAGTAATTCCGATAAAAACTAAATGCTGATGACTTGGGCCTTCTGGGCTTCTCCTGTGCGGGCCTAGCCTAGCCACTGGAGGGGTTGCGCCTGGTGTACTGGACGCCCGTCATAACATCTCTCCCCGCCTGTGAAAACAGCTCGTCCTCGAGCTGAAAGTCGGGGTAAGCTTCCTGGAACTCATCGAGGCGCTCCCAAGTGGCATCGTCTTCAGCCAAGCCGTGCCACTGGATCAGCACACGCCAGACACCACGGCGACGCTGCGCTGCGCCGCAGCTGCTGCTCGGGAGCAGAAGGACGCGCTCGCCCGTCTGCGTCGGAGGTAGAGCACCAAGTCACGGCGGTTCGCCGCGGTCTTTTTCAACAAGTCGACATGGAATACATCATGGAGGCGAGCACCATCCGGCAATTGGAGACGATAAGCGACGCCCCCAATGCGCCGAAAGCACGCGGAAGGGCCACCTCGCCAACACGGCCCCAGCTTGTGTTTGGCGCGGGGGTCCAGAGACTGCGCCGTGCGATGGAGGAGGCGCAGCCAGACCCACAAACCGACGTCGAACTCCACGTCCCGGTGGTTGGCGTTGTAGTACTTCGAGAGCTGCTGGGCTTGAAGGAGGCGCTGACGAACCTCGGTGAGGATATCATCACGGCTGCGGAGAAGGGCGTCCGCAGCCTCCGTACGTGCTGTCCCCGGCCGGTATGGCAATATGGGTGGCGGGGGACGGCCGTACACCACCTCAAATGGCGTCGTGCGAAGGGCGGTGTGGAAGGAGGTATTGTAACAATACGCCGCCCACGGCAGCCAGTCGACCCAAGCGCGAGGGCGGTCCCCTGTAATACAACGCAAATACATTGCGATTACCTTATTGACCACCTCCGACTGGCCATCCGTCTGGGGGTGGAACGCTGTGCTCATGCGGAGCTTGACGCCCGCCATCTTGAAGAGGTCGCGCCACACGTGCCCGGTGAACACAGGGTCCCGATCACTGACGATGGACGTCGGGAACCCGTGAAGCCGGACAATGCCGTCGAAGAAGGCACGGGCGACGAACGCCGCGGTGTAGGGGTGGCCGAGCGCGATGAAGTGCGCGTACTTGGAGAAGCGATCGACGACGGTGAGGATGACCGACTTGCCGCCGACCTTGGGCAGCCCCTCGATAAAGTCCATGGAGATGTCAACCCACACCTTGGATGGCACGGCCAGGGGCTGCAGCAAGCCCGCCGGCTATAGGGCTTCGGTCTTGTTGCGTTGACATGTAGCACACGTGCGCACCCAATCCTGCACCAAGGAGCGATCGCCTGGGATATAAAAATCCGAACGAAGGCGATGCAGCATCTTCCGGATGCCTTCTTGACCGGCACCATGGGCAAGCTGAATTGCCTGATGCCGGATGTCGCCAAAATCGGGGACGAAGATGCAGATGATAGCAGGAGGCGGCTAGGGTTAGGGAATCCCGACTCCCTTCAGGAAGCCGGAAACAATCTTTGTTTCTGCTTAATCCTCCAAAGTAGTCTTACAAAGTATTTATATGTCCTCTAATAATAATAATAGAAATAACCCCTAATAATTATAGTAATTCCGATAAAAACTAAATGTCGATGACTTGGGCCTTCCGGGCTTCTCTCTGCTTGTGAACTGGCCTAGCCACCGGAGGGGTTTCTTTGGTGTGTCTTGGACGCCTTGGCATATAACAGGAACATAATTATGTTTGCATCCAGAGATTATTAGCATGAGATGACTTTACCAGAAGAATTTGATGAACCTTTATCATGTAGTAGCTATGAAATGATTTGAGTACCACCAAAATATCTTTTTTAGAACAGCTTGGATCATCTGTAGTCTATAAGGCCTCATATCAGAATGTGTGAAATTTAGCTACTCCTGCTTTTAGAAAGCTATTAACAACAACAACAAAGCCTTTAAGTCCCAAACAAGTTGGGGTAGGCTAGAGTTGAAACCCAGCAGAAGTAATCAAGGTTCAGGCACGTGAATAACTGTCTTTCAAGCACTCCTATCTAAGGCTAAGTTTTTGGGTATATTCTATCATTTTAAGTCTCCTTTTATTGCCTCTACTCAAGTCAACTTCGGTCTTCCTCTGCCTCTCTTCACGTTACTATCCTGGCTTAGGATTCCACTATGCACCGGTGCCTCTGGAGGTTTCCGTTGGACATGTCCAAACCATCTCAACCGGTGTTGGACAAGCTTTTCTTTAATTGGTGCTACCCCTAATCTATCACGTATATCATCGTTCCGAACTCGATCCTTTCTTGTATGACCGCAAATCCAACGCAACATATGCAATTCCGCGACATTTATCTGTTGAACATGTCGTCTTTTCGTAGGTCAACATTCTGCACCATACAACATAGCAGGTCTAATCGTCGTCCTATAAAACTTGCCTTTTAGCTTCTATCGTACCCTTTTGTCACATAGGACTACAGATGCTTGCCGCCACTTCATCCGCCCTGCTTTGATTCTACGGCTAACATCTTCATCAATATCTTCGTCTCTCTGTAGCATTGATCCTAAATATCGAAATGTATCATTCCTAAGCACTACTTGATATTCCAAACTAATATCTTCCTCCTCCCGAGTAGTAGTGCCGAAGTCATATCTCATATACTCAGTTTTAGTTCTACTGAGTCTAAAACCTTTGGACTCCAAAGTCTCCCGCCATAACTCCAGTTTCTGATTCACTCCTGTCCGGCTTTCATCAACTAGCACTACATCGTCCGCGAAAAGCATACACCAAGGAATGCCCCCTTGTATGTCCCTTGTGACCTCATCCATCACTAAGGCAAACAAATAAGGGCTCAAAGCTGACCCTTGATGTAGTCCTATCCTAATCGGGAAGTTATTTGTGTCTCCATCACTTGTTTGAACTCTAGTCACAACATTGTTGTACATGTCCTTAATGAGCCCGACGTACTTCGTTGGGACTTTATGTTTGTCCAAAGCCCACCACATAACATTCCTTGGTATTTTATCATAAGCCTTCTCTAAGTCAATAAAAACCATGTGTAGGTCCTTCTTCTTCTCCTTATACCGCTCCATAACTTATCTTATTAAGAAAATGGCTTCCATGGTTGACCTTCCGGGCATGAAACCAAATTGATTCATAGAGACCCACGTTATTGCTCTCAAACGATGCTCGATAACTCTCTCCCATAGCTTCATAGTATGGCTCATCAACGTAATTCCCCGGTAATTAGTACAACTTTGAATATCCCCTTTATTCTTATAGATCGGTACCAATATACTTCTCCTCCACTCACCAGGCATTTTGTTCGATCGAAAAATATGGTTGAACAGCTTGGTTAGCTATACTATAGCTATTTCCCCGAGGCATCTCCATACCTCGATTGGGATACCATCCGGTCCCATCGTCTTACCTCCTTTCATCCTTTTCAACGCCTCTCTGACCTCAGATTCTTGGATTCTCTGCATAAAGCGCCTATTGGTGTCATCAAAAGAGTCATCCAACTGAAAGGTTGTGTCCGTATTCTCACCATTGAATAATTTGTCAAAATACTCTTGCCATCGATGTCGGATCTCATCCTCCTTCACCAAGAGATGCTCCATTTCATCTTTAATGCACTTAACTTGATTGAAGTCCCTTGTCTTTCTCTCACGAACCCTAGCCATCCTATAAATGTCCTTCTCTCCTTCCTTCGTACTCAAACGTTGGTAAAGATCCTCGTACGCTCTACCCTTTGCCACACTTACAGCTCGCTTTGCAGTCGTCTTTGCCACCTTGTACTTCTCTATGTTGTCCACACTCCTGTCATGGTACAAACGTCTATAGCATTTTTTCTTCTCCTTAATAGCACTTTGGACTTTCTCGTTCCACCACCAAGTATCTTTAGCCTTACCTCCACTTCCTTTGGTTACTCCACACACCTCTGAGGCCACCTTCCGAATGTTGGTTGCTATCTTCTCCCACATGTTGTTTATGTCATCTTCTTCATTCCAAGAGCCCTCTTTGATAACCCTTTCCCTGAATACCTCTGACGTCTCCCCTTTCAGTTTCCATCACTTTGTTCTTTCAATCTTATCTTGTTTATCCCTACGGGCACGCACCTGAAAATGAAAGTCTGCCACTAAAAGCATATGTTGAGAAACAACACACTCCCCTGGTATCACCTTGCAACCCAAGCATGCTCGTTTGTCCTTTCTTCTTGTGAGGACAAAGTCAATCTGGTTAGAGTGTTGTCCGCTACTGAAAGTCACTAGATGAGATTCTCTCTTTCTAAAAAAAAGTGTTGGCTATCATCAGGTCAAAAGCTACCGCGAAGTCCAGAACTTCCTCCCCCTCCTGATTCCTACTACCATACCCAAAACCTCCATGAACTGCCTCGAAACCTGCGCTTGTAGTACCTACATGCCTATTAAGATCTCCTATAAAAAGGTTCTCACTACTAGGTACAACTCTAATCAGGTCATCTAAGTCTTCCCAGAACTGTCTCTTAACATCCTCGTCCGAGGCCTACTTGGGGGGCATACGCACTAATTACGTTCAAGACCATATCACCAATGACAAGCTTGACTAAGATAATCTTATCTCCTTGCCTTCTCACTCCCACCACATTATTCTTGAGGCTCTTATCGATCAAAACTCCTACTCCATTTCTATTCGCAACTGTCTCTGTGTACCAAAGCTTGAAACATGTATTGTCCACCTCTTTCGCCTTCTGACCCTTTCATTTAGTCTCTTGAACGCATAATATATTTACACGCCTCCTAGTCACGGTATCAACTAATTTTCTTAACTTACCTGTAAGCGACCCTACATTCCAATTACCTAAACGGATCCTAGTTGGTTCGACTAACTTCCTTACCCTTAGCACTCGTCGACTCAGATGTGAAGACCCTTGCTCATTTTTCACTACACCCGGGCGCCGATGCAGCGCGCCACTAAGGATGCGACAACCCGATCCTTGCTCACTTGACACCGTACCTAGATCGCGACACGGCGCGTCACGGAGGTGACGACCCGGCCCTTGCTCATTTAACACCATACCCGGGTTCTGATATGGCGCGTCGCTAAGAGGGTTACGCCCCAACGGTTTTAGAAAGCTATTAACCTGTCAATGAATTCGACAACCTGATTTCTCAGCGATGGCAGAGTGACTTTCTAATGAATCTGAGAAATTCATTTGTAATGAGTCATTTGTGTAGTCTTGCCCCCCCACACACACACACACATGCAGCCATCAAATGATGAAATGGAATTCTAACTTCACACCACTTGAATGACAACCATTTCTTGGACTTTTGTGCCTTCCTTTGTGTGTGCCTTTTCAGCCTTAAAAAGCCATATCCTTTTTGGAGTTACCCTTTCATATACTTGCGTCTAAACTTTGTGAGGCCAAACATTATTTTTCCTTGAACCTCATGAAACTATACTCCGCTTTCATGTTATGGCTAGATTATAGTTTATAGGTTCATGAGCCAACCAAGAATCAGCACTCTAATTCAGGGGTTCACTTATGTGTAATTGCACTCCTCAGTTCTATTAATGTCTGCTTCCTTACAATTTGATTCGTGTATTTTCTCTTCCTTACCAAAGGGACATGTCCTGCAGATTATTCTGGTTTATTTTGCGAGCAAAGCTTGTAGATAATTCATGGAACTCTCTGGATGTTTGAGCCTCGTTCACCATTCAAGTTAAAATGCAATACTTGTAACGGAAGCAGTGCCATGCTTTGCTGTGGAACAGGATAATGTTTGTCGCCAGAGATTGTAAAACACATGATAACTTTACTAGCAGAATTCACAGATCCTTTATCATGTAGTTACGAAATGATTTGAGAACCCCCATGATCAAATTTTCTGCACAGCTTGCATCATGTGTGGTCTATTAGGTAAGATTGGCTTGTGTTGAGTGCTGCTAATTAAAAAGTGATGAGTACAGGCCCGATCTTCCGAGAGGTAGCTGGTAATTTCGATTTGTGGAGATCTCGACGTTGGCGATCCGGCTTCAAATCAGACGCGATTCGAACCCTACAACCGTTACACCACTGCTCCGTTGGTTATCAACCAAGCACAACTTGATTGACCTCGCCAAGAAGGCTTTTCCTGCAAGCGAATCGAAGAGCACAAGCAAGAAGGTAAAACACGCAATCTGATATTGCAAATATGAATGACACGAATATCAATAGAGGATTCAAGAACTCGGTTCCAAAGGACTAATCGACACAGTGGAGGAGATCAAGAACAGGGGCCCTGGATCACTGTAAAAGGATTTGTCACCACAGTTACAATGAACGATTCAGTTTCTCGATGGAAAACTAAACTCTAAACAAAACCCAATTGTGTAGCAGCGGCGACGGCTGTGTTTATAGTCTAAGACTCGACCTAGGGTTGGGGACGGCCAGGGGTTGGGCGCCCACAACGTGGGCTTAAGGCCCGACACGATACATGGCCAAGTTGGCCCAAATAGGTGACGCAGCACCTTGCCGCTGTCACACAGAATGATCCACGGACCTTCTGGAGCTGGGACCAGATCCAAAACGACGGCGTCGTCGTCCCCTTTCCAACGCATCCAAGAACGGCCCGTTTCGATGTCGTATGAGAAAGTTATGACCGAAACAGTGACGACGTGTCTGCTGAATCCGAGGGCGACGTGGCAGCTGAGTTGGGAACGGATTGCAACTTGGGGAAGACCATGGCGTCGGTGTGTCCAGCATGGCGATGTCCTCATCAAAAAGCTATTAACATTCCAATGAATTCAAGGAACCAATTTCTCAGCGACCTATTTGAGGTCCCATCTTTTTCCTTCCTTTCCTTCGATATGAAATTATAATTTTAATCTCACATAATTTCGATGGCAGCTGTTTCTTAGACTGTTATTCCTTTTTGTATCACGTTCTTCAACCTTATAAAAACTGTATGCTTTAATATGACACCCCTTTATGTGAAGCCAAACATAAATTTTTTCCTGCACGTCTCATGAAAATGGTAAATTCTTGATAATGGATTGAGTTTCTTATTCTCCTGTTGATAAATTTCTACACCAAAATAAGTGAAATTGTCTGGGGAATTGAAGAACCATATATACTACTTGATTACTGTTTGGAACAAATTACAAATTCTGGCACTATCCTTGTCCTTGACATATATATGAAAATATGATGGCAGTGATTCTCTGCTATCCACAGAACACATCCCACAATGGATGGTTGCGCATCATATTACAATTTGCTATATAAGCACATTGCTGGAATGCCATTGAATCACATCTCAAATATATCCTGTCTGCTCTATTAGACCTTGAATTAACTGTTGTGATCATATATTGATATGAACTACCAAGTTTTCTATGATTCTGGGTATTGGTTGAAATGACAAAGTATTAGACAATACCTGAGTGCGTACTGAATTGTAGACTATGCCAGTTCTTTTTAGTTGTGTGGGGAGTATGGCAGATTATCATCATTCTCAATTTTGGACAGGTGTCGGCAAATCTTCATTGGTGCATCTCTTATTGAAAGGTTCTGCAGTGGCTCGACCAGCCCAAACAATTGGGTGTGCAGTTGGTGTTAAAGTAAGTAATCCTGGGCCTAATTTCCTTTGTTTTAATTTTCAAAATATATTCTCACACAAGCATTATTTCCCATTTTTGCAGCATATTACTTACAGTAGTCCAGGGAGTTCGTCTAATAGCATCAAGGGTGATGCTGAAAGGAACTTCTTCATTGAGCTTTGGGATGTTTCAGGACATGAGCGCTACAAAGAATGCCGTTCACTTTTTTATTCACAAATTAATGGTAGGTGTTTTCTGCATCATTTTCCCTGCCAATATAGTAATCCCATACTGCATCTTTGCAGAATTCATTATTATTTTTTCTCTGCAGCTAGTTAAACTGTGTAATATGCAACAATATCCCTTTTGAATGATATTTCATCTTCTCAGCCCATTAGTCATGAATATAGGGAAAGAAAAAAAATATAGAGCCCATTAGTCATGACCCTACTGTACCTTCCAATATTTCTTGTGTTTCTCATATGAACCTTGTTACATTTTGTTAAATCAGCATGAAACTACCTGGCATGGTATGTCCACAATATGAGACCTTATTGTCCAGTTTTGCCCAAGTTCCGTTTTATTTGTGGCTGCATGCTGAAGCCTGCACTGATGTGGAAGAGATGGCTTAATGTTAGAATAATCTATAGTTCTGGGCCCTCGGCCCAGAGACATTGTAGGTAGTAGGCAGAATGCGGTGATCTATTTACCTGTATGAAATTTTTATGTGTTACATATTCTTAATGTATTGCTACTGAATAATAATAGATAATGCGGTTTAAAGTTTTCTTTTTCGACAAGAAGATAGTTTAAACTTTAAAGATTCTTAACCTTTTCCGAAATTATTCATTAGGTGTCATATTTGTTTATGACCTCTCCCAGAGGAAAACAAAGACAAATTTGAACAAGTGGGCAGTGGAGGTTGCTGAATCTGGGACCTTTTCAGCCCCTCTTGGGTCTGGTGGTCCTGGTGGCCTTCCAGTTCCTTACCTAGTTATTGCCAACAAAGTGGATATTGCTCCAAGAGATGGTAGAAGAGTGAGCAGTGGGAATCTTGTTGATGTTGCTCGTCAATGGGTTGAAAAACAAGGCCTGCTTCCATCCAGTGAAGAACTTCCACTTGCAGATAGCTTTCCTGGCAATTCTGGTCTGCTCACGGTAAAGCTTCTCTATACCATTATTTGCTGTCTGATGTCTTGCTTTAACTGACTATAGTGTGGTGATCCATAGGTTGTCTGGCTTGTGAAGAAACAAGAAGTCCTGTTTTCTTATTGATTATGTGTGTGCTGTGCTATTTAAATTTTGAAATGATAGGTTTGACCTTTGAATACAGGCTGCCAAAGAGGCAAGATATGATAAAGAAGCTCTAATCAAGTTCTTCCGCATGGTTTGTGCAAAAGAATCCTTGTCCATTAGATTAGCGATTCACACTATAGTATTATTCACAAATGGTATTGTGGTACATCATTCAGTTGATAAGGAGGAGGTATTTTTCGAATGAGCTTCCTACCCCTAGCCCATGGTCACTCACTCCCAGAGAAGATACCATTCTTCCCGTAGAAACTGTGAATGATGACGACATGTTCCAAAGAAAAAGGTGACTCCCTCTATCTATTACTGACAAATGCATGAGGGTTTGATGAATAAACATTCTCTTTGTGATTTTTTGTCTGGTATTCTTGATGAGAACTGGATATATGCCGAGACATGATCAATAATTTGGTTACTTCAGCAACATCTTGTTGACACGCTTGTTTCCTAACTTGTAGCTACGGTGGCCAGAGCTACAAATACAATGGGGTTGCCCCACTGCCTGCACAGCGGAACCTAACTCCACCCCCGACACTCTATCCACAGCAGCCAATGTCCTCTTCTTCAGAAAACTACAGATACCACAGATTTTCCTCCTCGTCAATACCTGATTCAAGTGTTGGTAGAACAAGCCGAGCAAACCTCAATATATGATGAGATATGAGTCTTATCCATTATCACCTGGAATGTGGGGAAAAAACATGACACCTGGGTTTTTTGAATCCCAGGTTTTTGATCTTTTTGAGTTGTGCACCTGTCTTTGATTGATTGTAATATGTGCATGTTGACAGGGCATTTGAACATTATGTTTGTGGGATCACTAGTGATAAATTCTTTGATTGTTCCCTGTATATCTCCTAATTTTGTGTATGAATTCAATATAGTTGTTTAGGAAAACACATTACATGGTGTACACTCATACTCTGTGCAATGGCAATCTGAATCAATCTTTTTCCCAAGTCCCATGAAGTCACCCGGAAGAAATCAAGTCTTGTGGCGTTCTAGGGCACTGCAACTATATATGTATCAGCATGCAGTCTAATGGGTTTTCACTCTATTTGGTTCCGTATCGACAGATTATGATTGTCAAGCACACATGTTGTTGGATTGAGAAATGTGTTCGGTATATAGGCGAGCACTACTGGCAGGGATTTTCGACAAATTTGATTTATAGTTTGAAAAAAGTAGCACATGGTGTTCATATTTCAGCCTGTTCGCTTGAGCTTATAAGCCAGGAATCAGCTCTACTTTTCAGCTATGAAACAGTATTTTTCTCTCGTAACAAATCAGCCGCAGACGCAATAAGTCCTGCAAAACAGAGCATTTGTCGTTAGATGCTACTTCCTCCGTTTCAAATTGTAAAACCTTTTGGATTTTGTAGATATAATTGTTTTTATTACGTATCTAGACATAATATATATATATATATGTAAATCCAAAGCTTATTTACATAGCCAAATGTCACCTATGTGCTGTTAGAGAAAAAGACTGGTCATGGCACTGTCTAAACGTCCGTTTAGCTTGTTTATACATTGCTTACTCTACTCTAGGGTTCCTCGTTTTCGTTTAAACAACCGTTTATCCTGTCTAAATGGTTGTTTTGCCCGTTTAAGAAGTTGTTTAGCTTAATACTTGCTAAACTACAAGTGAAAGTGACTGACTGTTTAACGTTTACGATAACACTGAGTCATGGATAGATACTTTTTTTAATAATGTACGCAACATTATAAGAGGCCACTTTTTGGATTAATTTACTTTCACCGTTCCAAATTATAAGAGGTTTTGACTTTTCTATATACATAGGCCATGTTCATTTCGCTGAAAAACCATGGCTGAAAGTATTGTTCGCTGATTTGTTGTGAGAGAAAAACATTATTCCTTAGTTGAAACAGTATGGCTCATGAGAGAAGCGAACATGGCCATAGTTTTTGTTATGCACTTATATATACACTATATCGAGTTGTAAAAGCAATGCATTTAAAAAAGCCAAAACGGGACTGAGAGGGAGTATAAGCTACTATTGTTGACCACTGACGAGATCCTAACATATGAGTAGTTAAGCCTCGGGATCAATGGTTCCCGACCGAAGGGACCCCGACTGACCCCTCCAAGATCGCCCGGGGGTTCGGGCTATACCCATCGGATACGCTCGCGCGCACCCTCCGACCAAGAAACCTGGCCGAGCCTAGGCACGGCGCAACCCCCGCACAGGGCTCAGGGACTTGCTCGAGCCTCAGACTCCCAATCGACGACACATCCGAGCTCAGGCCTTGGCTCCTGCCCGGCTTGCGACGCCAGCCAAGGTCTAGGTGCAAGAAGACAAGCTCCGAGCCATCGAGGCTCGAGGTCTCCAAGACATCGCGCCTTGGGCGTGGCCCTGCCGGCCACTTCTGCGATAGGGTCACGCACGGGGCATGACATAAGAAGACAAGCTTCCCACGGCCTTTAGGGGTTGGGCGGCTCCCAGGCCCGCACATCAGCCCCTAGAGCCGGCCTCCTTCGCCACCAAGAAGACTCCAGAAGGTCCACCAAGGGGAGACCGGTCCAAGCTGACACAGCCTGACACGTAGAGTGTCAGAACAGAGCAGCTGGACGACACCCAATGCTTCTTCGGCTCCACGACACCACCACGGTCCATAGAGCGCCGCTGCAAGACCCTCCTGGACTCCGGCGTATGTAGACCGTAGACTTATCTCCCCAAACCGCCATGTACCCGACCTATCTCGTTATATAATGGATAAGGTCAGACCTAGACGTTATATAATGGATAAGGTCGGACCTAGAGGGGGAGGGACAATCCAAGACAGATCATTCCATTCCATTCCGTCCGCTCCTGCCCAGCACCGAGGGCAAGGGAACCTAGAGAGAGGGGCACCGAGAGCTCCTCCACCGCATCCCATCGTCTTTCTCCTCTCCGACGAGGGAAAGGCTCCACCGGTGGCAAGGCGACCTAAGGATTAGCACCGAGCTAACCCCCTACCAAATCTCTCTCTACACTCTGTTGTAACCCCCCAATTTTGGGTGCTTTTGAGTATAAGGATCATCAGCTGCTGGATGTAGGGCATCGATTGGCCCGAACCAGGATAAACTGTTGCGTCCCCTCTGTGATTCTTGTGTTCTTGAGTCCACTCGAGCCACCGAAGACCCGTACTCTGACACCGATTTGAACAACAATGCTTGCCACGGTTCTGACCCCATGACAGCTGGCGTGCCAAGTAGGGGGCAGCGTCAAGTGTGACTCAGGCTCTATGGTGGTCGGAGCCACCCGCTTCGTCACCGGAGCAAGCGGCGGCACCCCAGATGATGGCGTCTGTTTCCCTGACGAGTTCTTCATCATAGCCGGCGCCTTCGGCCCTAGGCCAAGTACACAACTTTGGGAGCCAGGCCTACGTCGCCGACTGCTACGGCAAGCTTCGTTCGCTCGATGGGGCTGCGCCAGCGAGCAACGAGCTCCCGGCATCGCCTCCTCTGCTAGGACTTCTAGGAGCGGATCTTGAGGTCCTGGCCCGATAGATTCAGCACAGTCTGGGCCTAAACCCCGCTGTGTCGGAGCGCCGCCAGATATTCTACATGCTGGACAATGTCCACCACCAGATCGCCACCGATGAGGTGCTCCCGCCACCTGACCGCTTCTGGTACTACCTCCTAGACCTACCTTTTTGGGATCCAGAATGCGGCGGCATCCTTCTAGCTGGAGTTGGAGCACCTCATCAGCCATGAGCCCATGATGCGCCAAGAAGCGCCATCCTCTCCGGCACCGTAGGGGCGGACGTCCCCTCGCTGTGTGCCTTCCTCGTGATCCTTTTGGGGAACGACCCAGAGTATGACTCTAATGACATCGACCGCTATGCCCCGCCATGCATGTGTTACCACATCGACCGTGACGTTCTTGCTGAGGAGGCACCTAGGCTCATGCCGCCGGACCAGAGTCCCCACAGCCATGCGGCCTACCTTCAGGAGAAGGAGGATCGCCTGCGAGCTCGGCAGGTGGACCTAGAGACCGCCGAGGCAGAGCTCGAGCGCCAAAGGTAGGACCTTACACCGCAACGAGCCACACACCCTCTCACGCGACAACAATGATGCCCGCACGGGGGCTCCTAGCGGCCTCTGGTTTCCCCGTGCGGCCAACAACATGGAGGTCGCCGCTTGCCGACTTGAGGACATCTCCGACACGCCGGACCCAAAGACCAACAAGCGCCTACACGAGGCGAAGTGGCTTCTCCATGTCGCTCTCGAGCAGCAGGCTGAGAGTTTTGACTCCCAGCGTCGCGCCGCGCTCTCTAGGCCTCCTCGACATCCCCCTGCGCGCCACCGGATCGGTGATGACCACAACGTCTGTGACACCATCGAGGCCAGGCGCCATGCTCAGGCGTAGTCCCGTACCCCTGAGCGATGGGGCGCGGCGTTGCTGGATCATTTTGGCCCCCTGGCGTTTGGGGCAGCGATCCGGGCGGCTCCCCACCCTAGGCGTTTTCGGCCACCGACGCACATCTGCAAGTACGACGGCGAGACCAACCCGGACCATTGGCTAGAGGACTATCGCCTCGCCATGAAGGCCGAGGGGGTGGACGACGACTTTGTCGTCCAGTCCCTTCCCCTGCTTCTGTCAAGCTCGACTAGAGCTTGGCTCGAGCAGCTCAAGCCCGGTAGCATCCGCTGCTAGGGCAATCTCCGTTCGGTCTTCATCGGCCACTTTCAGGGTACCTACACCCACCCAGGTAACTCATGGGACCTCCGCAATTGCAGGCAGAGGGCCGATGAAACCCTCTAGGAGTACATCCAATGCTTCTCGAAGAAGCGCAACGAGGTCTCCAACATCACCGATACCGACATGATCAACGCCTTCATCTGCGGCACGACCTGCGAGGCTCTTGTCCACGCGCTCGGCCGCGAGACCTCGCGCACGATGTGAGAGCTCCTAGACGTCGCCACCCAGTACGCCACCGGCGAGGAGGCTGCCCAGGCCAACTTCAGCGACAAGGCCAAGACCACCGACCACCTCAGTGGTGGAGACGATGGCGACAACCCCATCTTGTCCCAGTGCCGCCGCGGCAAGAGGAACAAGGACCGAAAGCACCGCGGGGAGGAGATGGTTGTCGCGGCTGACCGCGCCGCCAGACCTCAGCCCCGCAGGCGTGGCGCACGCCCCAGGCACTTTGAGAAGGCGCTCGAGCTACTATTTTTGACCCTATCGCATCGCTTCGCCTTGCATCAAACACAAATCTGATGCAATAGGTGCCTTCTATTGCATCAAATTTGCAAATCTGATACAATAGGTGGTCGTTATTGCATCGAGAAGGAGTTGGATGCGATAGTAATTCATGTCGATGCAATAGGTATGACCTATCGCACCGATTTCATACAAGAGATGCAATAGGTAGAAATTATTGCATTGGACAAATTTGGTTGCGTTACTATTGATTTTTTATGCAATATGTAGGTGGTATTGCACTGGTTTAGAATACAAGTGCAATTAGGAAGTACTATTGCATCGGATTGATAGTGCTAGACTCGAATGCAACATGTGATTGCTTTTTTTTTGCGACTAGCGATATGTGATTGATATTGCATCGGTTTTGTAGTGATTTGATGCGACACATGGTTAATATTG